GAATGGACCGACGAATTAGACGGGGATCACATCACCAAATTCATGTCGGCAGGTCCTAAAAATTATGGTTTTCGGACGGACAAAGGAACCGAGACCCTTAAATGCAAAGGAGTCACTCTCAACCATCGAACCTCTCAGTTGGTGTGCCCAGAGACTTTAGAAAAAATGCTCAAGGGAGGAATAGAGGAAGTAAAAGTCCCCTATCCCAGGAAAATCCAGAGGACCCGGGATTATGAGGTCGTGAATAAACCTTCAGAGAAAACAGTTAGAATTGTATATGACAAGAGACAAATTGTAGAGAATTATAACACTTTACTTTATGGTTATTGATATGTTGATATGTTTGTTGTTTGTTGTTACAAATAAAAAATTGAATTGTTGTTTTATGTGTTGTTGTTTTTTCTTCTCTATAAAAGGTATTCTTATTCAAAATCAAAGGTCATTTCTAATCATGGGGAATCGCGAGCCAGACCAACCCATGCGTTTTCCCAGTATGCTCAGCTCTCAAAGAGAGAAGCTACTTTTGAGCAGGGGTGGCCTGAACTTCTCTCAGGAAAAATACCAGACCTAGCTCGAGCTGGGTTTTACTACAGGGGAGTGAAAGATAACGCTACCTGTTTTCATTGTGGAATGACTTTAGAGAATTGGGATCTTGAGGAGGATCCTTATGCAGAACATGCTTATTGGAACCCCAATTGTCCTTACATCAATCAGTATAAAGGACGAAGCTGGGTGATGAGTATATTTGTCAGGGACTTAGAGAAGCAGGGATATAAACCTTTACCTGAGATTAAACCTCTACTGAACCCAGAACCAGACGTCCAGGCTCGAGGAAAATGTCACATTTGTTTAGACGAGGAATTACAAATCGTTTTTCTACCTTGTGGACACGTATGCTGCTGTGCCTTGTGTGCTCCTTCCTTTCAGTTTTGCCCCATCTGTCGAGGCGAGATTCAACAGTCCAAACGGATATTTCTGTGTTAACTATAAATAAAAAAGACAGAACCCAAATTTGGTGTTTTCTATTGTTAAGCAAGCTCCTCAGACCTAGATTTTTTTTTTCAGTGATAAAGAATGAGATTTTTGAATTATTCCTAATTCAAAATTCTCTATTGGTTTTTTCCTCTGCAAGTTAAAAAATAATTACACCTGAGAGTCTATATAAAAAGGAGACCTACAAAACCAACAGATCATTTCTGATCTGAGTGAGGGACAGTAAGGCACAACAAATGAAAGTGAAATCTTTTTTTTTTATCATAATACATAATTTTGTAATAAACAAACACTAGAAAGTTACTCTCATAATGAGCCTTAATGTCTTCCAAGAGTTTAGTTTGGACTTCCTCCATTAATCCTTGTATCTACTCCATTGGTTTTATGGGCTAAAACCATGTGTCTTGTGAGGTGTCAAAACAAGTCGGTCATGGATTGACACGAGTCATCAACTTTTGAATGAAAAGTTCATTTTCTTCTATGAAACATGTATGAAACTTATATTATTTTGAGTCAATATTCATATTAAAAGCATACTTTCAGTCACTTTCATACAAGATAGTCAACATTTCATACAAGAATTGATTTGACATGATGACAAAGCGAAATTCTGTCGTCTGCTTTGATTGACAGGTGTCATGACGTCATAATGACGTCATAATTCAGTCAAATTCAATTCCTGAATGAAAAGTTCATTTTCTTCTATGAAACATGTATGAAACTTATATTATTTTGAGTCAATATTCATATTAAAAGCATAATTTCAGTCACTTTCATACAAGATAGTCAACATTTCATACAAGAATTGATTTGACATGATGACAAAGCGAAATTCTGTCGTCTGCTTTGATTGACAGGTGTCATGACGTCATAATGACGTCATAATTCAGTCAAATTCATTTCCTGAATGAAAAGTTCATTTTCTTCTATGAAACATGTATGAAACTTACATTATTTTGAGTCAATATTCATATTAAAAGCATAATTTCAGTCACTTTCATACAAGATAGTCAACATTTCATACAAGAATTGATTTGACATGATGACAAAGCGAAATTCTGTCGTCTGCTTTGATTGACAGGTGTCATGACGTCATAATGACGTCATAATTCAGTCAAATTCATTTCCTGAATGAAAAGTTCATTTTCTTCTATGAAACATGTATGAAACTTATATTATTTTGAGTCAATATTCATATTAAAAGCATAATTTCAGTCACTTTCATACAAGATAGTCAACATTTCATACAAGAATTGATTTGACATAGTAGAGAATTCCCGAACGTCTACTCGGAATGCATTATTTTCATTCATAAAGAGAAAGTACGGGAAATTCCACTCCGGTGACGTAATATGATTGCGTCAGGTTTCCATAACAACAACACCATAAGTTATCTTCCTTGTTTCGTTGCAGCCATGGCTCCTCCCAACAAAAAAAGCTCTCTTCCCTAAAGGAGGGGTCCGACCCTCTGCTAGGGGTTCTCATAGGGGTTACTTTCAAGAATACGTTTTACAAGACGGTGACATCTTAAAAGTCAACCCCCTAAAAATGACACAGATATTCAGAAGCTAGCTTTGGTGTATTTTTCTTTACTTTCCTGGAACTGTAAATACATTTTGTTTGTGTTTGTCCTATTTTGAATTTAATAGGTCTCAATAGGACCCCCATAAAGATGCAAGTGTCCTATAATCTGTGATAATATGTTGAATATTTTTATTATTCCATATATTTTATTCTTACTACACATATAGTGTTTGGAGTAATGCACTTAGTTGTATAGGACAATATTCAAGGTCAAAGCATGAGATTATTGAGATAACTACCTTTGTCAATAATTTGTAACCTTCAAACTTTACATCTTAAGTGAAGAATGGATAGGAGATTGTCTATAGATTTTTGGATCATTTTCCTACAAGATAATATTACTGACTTGAAACATTTCATGGTGATTTACATACCTGCAGTCATAAATAGATACATGTAGGCACGGGGTAGACTCCTATAGATTTTAAGATCTTCATTCAAAAGTATGGAAAGTTTTTAAGTTTGAAAGATTAAATGTCAGCATATCATTTGCTTGTGAATTTAAAATAAATTCAAACATATACATCTTTAGATGATAACTAGTTATTTCAATTCCTGGACTTTCTGTCTTGATATTTTCCTTTATTATCTGTAAAATTTAATGATTGTCTTTTTAGTTTAGTTGAACTAGTTTCTTATTCTCATGTGAAAATGGCATCATCCAAATAAGTTCATCTACATTTTATATGTAGGAGAGAATTTTTCATCACAGGGAAAGAAAGAGATTGTCTTGTATAATATAATGCATTGGTACACAAAAATATCTTTCAATTTCTAACATGTTTCATTTTTGTTACATGGAATGATAAGTTCTGTTGATTTCCTACCAAAGACATACTAGTAGAGTAATAAATGTATATGATGTGTCAGAAAAGCATGTGGAAACCTAATGACTTTATCATTTCTGATTAAAAATCAAATTATGAGTTTCATCTTTGTTACATTATTAAAAAATTCTAAGTAGAGCATACACCAGAAACTCTTAAAATGATCTCTACTGTTCAATCTGAGTCTCAGGGTTTAACAGTACATAACAATTTCAAATGATTTTGGACGCTTTTTTATGTATCAAAAAGACAAAACAGAATATCTGTTCACAGATGTTCCGGGCAGTTAGAATTATGCTCAATCAACTTTGTGAAATATTCCCAACTTCCAATGGTTCTTATTTACATGAAAAAAAAACTGACTCCATATAAAATTGTTTGTTTTCTTTTTATTTTACAAGAAATAACATGCTGACAGTGAATCTAATCATTTTTTCAAAACTGGTTAAATTAATGTTTACAATTGTCTTAAAATACTCAAATGTAAGTTTATTTCATACAGAAATACCTTAAATGTATAGACTTATTGTACTTATAGATTAAATATATAGATTAACCCCTTTGTAGTAAAACATTTTTAACCTCATTTTCTTGCCTATTCTCTCATACATTTTCTAATTTGAGTATTCTCAAATTATTGATTACATAAGCAAACAAATTTAAGACAAAACCACAATATATGCTGAATACCCTGAAATGAAAATATGCAAGATGTGTAACACATCATGTACAACTTTAAAGTCTACAAGATTTTAAGCTAACCCTATTATACAATAAGACTACTTTTTTTCAAAAATATAAAAAAATCTCCACAAAAAAAAGTATTTATGCAAAAGATGAATGTTATGCTACACTTTTAAAATACATTTTACATGAATCACATAAAGAACATAACATCTTTTCTTTGTGGTTGTTTTCCTTTGGAACATCTGTGAACAGATATTCTGTTTTGTCTTTTTGATACATAAAAAAGCGTCCAAAATCATTTGAAATTGTTATGTACTGTTAAACCCTGAGACTCAGATTGAACAGTAGAGATCATTTTAAGAGTTTCTGGTGTATGCTCTACTTAGAATTTTTTAATAATGTAACAAAGATGAAACTCATAATTTGATTTTTAATCAGAAATGATAAAGTCATTAGGTTTCCACATGCTTTTCTGACACATCATATACATTTATTACTCTACTAGTATGTCTTTGGTAGGAAATCAACAGAACTTATCATTCCATGTAACAAAAATGAAACATGTTAGAAATTGAAAGATATTTTTGTGTACCAATGCATTATATTATACAAGACAATCTCTTTCTTTCCCTGTGATGAAAAATTCTCTCCTACATATAAAATGTAGATGAACTTATTTGGATGATGCCATTTTCACATGCTAATAAGAAACTAGTTCAACTAAACTAAAAAGACAATCATTAAATTTTACAGATAATAAAGGAAAATATCAAGACAGAAAGTCCAGGAATTGAAATAACTAGTTATCATCTAAAGATGTATATGTTTGAATTTATTTTAAATTCACATGCAAATGATATGCTGACATTTAATCTTTCAAACTTAAAAACTTTCCATACTTTTGAATGAAGATCTTAAAATCTATAGGAGTCTACCCCATGCCTACATGTATCTATTTATGACTGCAGGTATGTAAATCACCATGAAATGTTTCAAGTCAGTAATATTATCTTGTAGGAAAATGATCCAAAAATCTATAGAAAATCTCCTATCCATTCTTCACTTAAGATGTAAAGTTTGAAGGTTACAAATTATTGACAAAGGTAGTTATCTCAATAATCTCATGCTTTGACCTTGAATATTGTCCTATACAACTAAGTGCATTACTCCAAACACTATATGTGTAGTAAGAATAAAATTTATGGAATAATAAAAATATTCAACATATTATCACAGATTATAGGACACTTGCATCTTTATGGGGGTCCTATTGAGACCTATTAAATTCAAAATAGGACAAACACAAACAAAATGTATTTACAGTTCCAGGAAAGTAAAAAAAAATACACCAAAGCTAGCTTCTGAATGTGTCATTTTTAGGGGGTTGACTTTTAAGATGTCACCGTCTTATAAAACGTATTCTTGAAAGTAACCCCTACGAGAACCCCTAGCAGAGGGTCGGACCCCTCCTTTAGGGAAGAGAGCTTTTTTTGTTGGGAGGAGCCATGGCTGCAACGAAACAAGGAAGATAACTTATGGTGTTGTTGTTATGGAAACCTGACGCAATCATATTACGTCACCGGAGTGGAATTTCCCGTACTTTCTCTTTATGAATGAAAATAATGCATTCCGAGTAGACGTTCGGGAATTCTCTACTATGTCAAATCAATTCTTGTATGAAATGTTGACTATCTTGTATGAAAGTGACTGAAATTATGCTTTTAATATGAATATTGACTCAAAATAATATAAGTTTCATACATGTTTCATAGAAGAAAATGAACTTTTCATTCAGGAAATGAATTTGACTGAATTATGACGTCATTATGACGTCATGACACCTGTCAATCAAAGCAGACGACAGAATTTCGCTTTGTCATCATGTCAAATCAATTCTTGTATGAAATGTTGACTATCTTGTATGAAAGTGACTGAAATTATGCTTTTAATATGAATATTGACTCAAAATAATATAAGTTTCATACATGTTTCATAAAAGAAAATGAACTTTTCACTCAGGAAATGAATTTGACTGAATTATGACGTCATGACACCTGTCAATCAAAGCAGACGACAGAATTTCGCTTTGTCATCATGTCAAATCAATTCTTGTATGAAATGTTGACTATCTTGTATGAAAGTGACTGAAATTATGCTTTTAATATGAATATTGACTCAAAATAATATAAGTTTCATACATGTTTCATAGAAGAAAATGAACTTTTCATTCAGGAAATGAATTTGACTGAATTATGACGTCATTATGACGTCATGACACCTGTCAATCAAAGCAGACGACAGAATTTCGCTTTGTCATCATGTCAAATCAATTCTTGTATGAAATGTTGACTATCTTGTATGAAAGTGACTGAAATTATGCTTTTAATATGAATATTGACTCAAAATAATATAAGTTTCATACATGTTTCATAGAAGAAAATGAACTTTTCATTCAGGAATTGAATTTGACTGAATTATGACGTCATTATGACGTCATGACACCTGTCAATCAAAGCAGACGACAGAATTTCGCTTTGTCATCATGTCAAATCAATTCTTGTATGAAATGTTGACTATCTTGTATGAAAGTGACTGAAATTATGCTTTTAATATGAATATTGACTCAAAATAATATAAGTTTCATACATGTTTCATAGAAGAAAATGAACTTTTCATTCAGGAAATGAATTTGACTGAATTATGACGTCATTATGACGTCATGACACCTGTCAATCAAAGCAGACGACAGAATTTCGCTTTGTCATCATGTCAAATCAATTCTTGTATGAAATGTTGACTATCTTGTATGAAAGTGACTGAAATTATGCTTTTAATATGAATATTGACTCAAAATAATATAAGTTTCATACATGTTTCATAGAAGAAAATGAACTTTTCATTCAAAAGTTGATGACTCGTGTCAATCCATGACCGACTTGTTTTGACACCTCACAAGACACATGATTTTAGCCCACAAAACCAATGGAGTAGATACAAGGATTAATGGAGGAAGTCCAAACTAAACTCTTGGAAGACATTAAGGCTCATTATGAGAGTAACTTTCTAGTGTTTGTTTATTACAAAATTATGTATTATGATAAAAAAAAAGATTTCACTTTCATTTGTTGTGCCTTACTGTCCCTCACTCAGATCAGAAATGATCTGTTGGTTTTGTAGGTCTCCTTTTTATATAGACTCTCAGGTGTAATTATTTTTTAACTTGCAGAGGAAAAAACCAATAGAGAATTTTGAATTAGGAATAATTCAAAAATCTCGTTCTTTATCACTGAAAAAAAAAAATCTAGGTCTGAGGAGCTTGCTTAACAATAGAAAACACCAAATTTGGGTTTTGTCTTTTTTATTTATAGTTAACACAGAAATATCCGTTTGGACTGTTGAATCTCGCCTCGACAGATGGGGCAAAACTGAAAGGAAGGAGCACACAAGGCACAGCAGCATACGTGTCCACAAGGTAGAAAAACGATTTGTAATTCCTCGTCTAAACAAATGTGACATTTTCCTCGAGCCTGGACGTCTGGTTCTGGGTTCAGTAGAGGTTTAATCTCAGGTAAAGGTTTATATCCCTGCTTCTCTAAGTCCCCGACAAATATACTCATCACCCAGCTTCGTCCTTTATACTGATTGATGTAAGGACAATTGGGGTTCCAATAAGCATGTTCTGCATAAGGATCCTCCTCAAGATCCCAATTCTCTAAAGTCATTCCACAATGAAAACAGGTAGCGTTATCTTTCACTCCCCTGTAGTAAAACCCAGCTCGAGCTAGGTCTGGTATTTTTCCTGAGAGAAGTTCAGGCCACCCCTGCTCAAAAGTAGCTTCTCTCTTTGAGAGCTGAGCATACTGGGGAAAACGCATGGGTTGGTCTGGCTCGCGATTCCCCATGATTAGAAATGACCTTTGATTTTGAATAAGAATACCTTTTATAGAGAAGAAAAAACAACAACACATAAAACAACAATTCAATTTTTTATTTAAAAAAGTCAAACATATCAACATATCAATAACCATAAGGTAAAGTGTTATAATTCTCTACAATTTGTCTCTTGTCATATACAATTTTAACTATTTTCTCTGAAGGTTTATTCACGACCTCATAATCACGGGTCCTCTGGATTTTGCTGGGATAGGGGACTTTTACTTCCTCTATTTCTCCCTTGAGCATTTTTTCTAAAGTCTCTGGGCACACCAACTGAGAGGTTCGATGGTTGAGAGTGACCCCTTTGCATTTAAGGGTCTCGGTTCCTTTGTCCGTTCGGAAACCATAATTTTTAGGACCTGCCGACATGAATTTGGTGATGTGATCCCCGTCTAATTCGTCGGTCCATTCTCCTTAACTATGACCCAAGGTAGGATTAAAAGCTCCTTCCTTATGTTGGTAAATGATACTGTCCGTATCGAAATAAAGGCCCCGTTCTTCTAAAGGTTGTAAAGTCTCGTAGAGATGTAAGCGGGCATAGGCGGTGGTAAAACAAGCCAGGATCACGTTTCCAAAGGGACATTCTTCGACGAATTCCTGTTTGTCTTGAAAATTCACTAGAATCTTGTCTTCAATGGAATCTTCTTTATTGACTAAGAGTCGCACACCCTTGATGTTGAGAGTCGAATTTTGTAAGAGTTGATGTAATTCCTCTACTTCGTCCAAGTATCTGACTTTGGGTAATAACAATCGTTGAGCAAATTTTCCCCACAGACAATTTAAAAAGAGTTTAGCAATGGTTCTTCTCACTGGATTCTTCTCGATACTGATCCTATCCATCATGAATCCTTCTTTGTCGTAGATTTGTCGAATGTAATCTTGTTCTTGTTCTGAGGTCTTACAGTCGGGGGGAAATCCGGACGCTTCCTGTTTGATCTTGAGGAAGGTATTGATGTACTTTTTAAATAAGTCTTGACTGCTTTCTTTGAAATGCCACACTTCGTAGATTCCCTCTAAGGTATACCCCATGTCCAGGGCTTTATGTAATTCGCTCGTCACCCAAGTACCCGTGAGACTACGTTCCCGGTCGGTGTGTTGACATGGGTGTTGAGACGTAGAGTCTTGTTGTTGGGCACACGTGCGACATAAGGGAAATAATAACTTACCTCCCGTCCGATAAGGTAATACGGGGTGAAAGAGGCCTCGGGGTGGTAAGACCCGGCAGTGAATGAGACCGAAATAACTTCTCACGTCCTGGAAGTCGTCTGTGATGATCTCGGGATGCCCTAGGGGAAAAGGTCTGTGTTTCAACACGTAAGGGTATAAGGAACACACGTCCACGTATCTCATGTCCCCTTCTTCACAATATAATTTAGTGGCATTGGTCCGGCCTCCGTACAGGGCTTCTCGAGGTTTCAAAGGATCCGGAATGTCCAGATCTCGTACAAATTGCTGTAAACTCTCATCTTGTTGCACTTCGAAATCGTGCTCCCAGATACTACACACGTTGTACCCCATGTCCTTTAAATCCGCAGTCCTTCTGAGGGTTTTCTCGTGTAATTGTTGGTAAGTAAATTGGGTCCGGTGAGGATGAGTTTCCGTCTGTAAACTGGGATAGCAAGTGGGGCATCCGTGCCAATAACATCCGTAAAATTCGTAGACGGTACGAGTCGCTTCCTGGTATCCGTCGACGGTATAATTTCCGATCGGGACTTCGCCTCCGTTTCTGGCATGTCGTATGTGACATCCATTCTGATGACTCATCCAGGTGAGCCATCGACAGGCTTTGGCCGAATATTGTCGTGCCGGTTCATACCCGAGGTTCGGAATGATGGCAATGGTGTCTTTAGGCATGAAATTTCGACGGTAGGCTAAATTAACAGCACTGGCAAACGTGAATGGATTCCTGGAAAGGGTCCACGTTGACCAACTTCTTGAGGGTGCTTCTAAAATGTGCACAGCATTGGCGTAAAATGTCGACGTCCGAGATACAATACCCTACAAACTCTTTCTGGAAATCAAACACTTTTCCCCTCTGTTGGTCGTACCATTCGTAAAGAGCTTTTCGTCCACTGGTAGTCATTTCGTCCGGTTTGTAGAAAGCTGCCGGTGGATAAGGTCCCACGTAATTCTGGTTCTGTTCCGTATTAAAAAAGTGAGGGAAATAACCTTTCTTCAATTCGTTCAATTCGAAAGCGGAGGGCATCTTGGCCAAAGGAAACGTTAAGAAACTATACGAGTCGATGAATTTGAGTCCACATATTTCCATGGACAAGATCTTACTCCCGTTCATGATCACGTTAGGTTTCAGGGGAGAAGAATGCACTATGTAATTCAAAATGAATTGTCCGTCGTATCCTTTGAAGTTATGGGCGATGACGATGGCCCCGTCGTGTACTAAAGTGGAATTCTTAGTACCTGTAGTGGGTTGAAATAACCAGTCCATGAACTTCTTTAAGGTGTCTGGGCCTTGAAATAGGTGCTGACGGGGTCCCATGTGATGACAATGAGGACAAGGTCGGTCTATGTCTAAGCCATCGCAATGTTGACAGACGCGATGTGCCACACACAGATTAGGAACGTGAATGCCCGATTCCTGAGTGCATTCGAAATCGAAATAAATGGTAAACTCTAAGGTGCCTTTTCCCTTCTTCTTCTTCTTGGGCTTCAGTTGTACGTAGCACCGATGATCGGCATCGACGATTTTCTTACAGATCTTACACTGTTTCTGATCTCCGCATTTGTGATGAGGAAATAATTTCTTAGGCATCCAGGACTGACACTTCTCGCATAACCCCATTAAATTGCAGACAGTAGTGGTGGTTTTCTTACCATGAGGTTTTAAATGATTTTCGTAGCAGGTCCTGTTCTTAAACATTCCATGGCATTCCTGGCATTTAATCTTGATCCCTTCATCGGGACAATTAGGGTGATGTCCTTAACAAAAGGTACAGCGATGAGGGCATTTGGAGCGATGGTCTGTGACATTCCTGTACCCCACGTCACAATGATCACAGTAATATTGGTTCCCCGTTACTCCCGGCATCGATATGATGGCATCGCAATGACGGTTGTCTAACAAAATGTTCAAACAAGTTCCATCTCCCCAGCCTTTGAAGATGCGCTCTAAACAGAGTTTAGTCGAAGTAGATTTGAACTGAAATATTTTCAATCGATACTGAGGAGCTAATACCTGTTGTAATTTCGTCCACTCTGCAGATCCACAAGCTTGAGTGATATCACACCCGGCCTGTTCCATGAGGGCTATGGCTTCTCGATTCTGATCTAAGGATTCCTTATCTCCTTTCCGCATACGGAGCCAACGTTTTTCCCATTCCGGGTCTGGATGATCGGGTTTCTGACTGTGTAATCGAGTGACGACGATGGCTCTAGCCAAACAAAATTTATCATGGGGATTGACGATCCGAACGATGGATTGTTTATTTTTCTTGAAAGTTTCTTTATCCACTTGTAAATGTTTGGTTCTGTCTCCACCACTCCCATGGGGATTCTCGATGTGTAACAGATCGAATTCCGTGGAGCCGTCGCCGATTTTGAACTCCTTTTTGGATTGTTGCACGTCTTGTATTTCTTTTAAAATGACGTCTTCGTTTAAATCTTTACATTGCATAAACTCGTACGAAATGTCTGATTCCAGAGAATCGTGATGAAGGTTCAGACGGAGGTAATCGTTAGGATCACACTGCATTTTCGATTTGAAGTCTTGTAACATGTTTTTGAATAATCGCCGAAGGAAAGCTGTGTTTTCTTCTTCTTCTGGAAATTCATCGAAATGATCGACATGTCTATTTTCATGCGCTTTAAATTTTGGAGAGGTCCTTTTTTCAGCTAGTCTCATGTGATAATACTCAGAAATGGGTTTAGGTGGCAAATCTATTTCTCTCTCGGTACTTTTTCGTTTCAATATTCGTCGAGCCTGTACCTGTTTTTCTCTAGTAGAATCCATGTCTATCAGATGATGGCTCTGAGGGTAAAATGAACCCAAAGTCGGAGAAAAACCGTATTTATACAGTGGATGACGTCATAATGCACAGGTAAGTTTTTTGCACACGGCACTTTATAGAGGATGCAAACAGGTATATAAGAAAACACAGGTAAAACGTATATTTCTTTTGCACACGACCCTAATTTTTTGCACACGGCACTTTATAGAGGATGCAAACAGGTATATATATAAGAAAACGCAGGTAAAACGTATTTTTGCACACGGCCCTAAAATATTCCTATAGTATATAAACCAGCGCTGGACATTGAGGATCATTCTGTGTGAGTACTAGGAAGTGAACACAGGTAAAAAAATGGAGCACGCAAAAAATGTGATAGAGGAAACGGAGTATCGTTGGTTTATTGAGACTTTAAATGGTATTGACAAGGAAGGACATTGGATGATAACGCCACAAGAAGTCATACAGGATTTTATGAATTTTAAATTCCATTCCACAGAATCTAAGCAAAGAAAACTTGGTGAAAGTTTTTGGTTTGAAAGCAGAAATAAGTTTCATGCTGCAGATTGTCCTAAGACAACAAACTTACACTTCACTTTTATTCAGGGGATGGATGGTACTACAAAATACAGCTGGTCAATCGAGGGTGATCATGGAATTGTGGATAGAAGTTTCTGGTAGAGAAATTCAGAAGACTGTCTTCAAAATTTGTTCGAGGGACCCTGGAAAAATAGAAAACTTCCAGCCAGTTATGAATTCTACCTGAATGCTCGTATGCCTTTTAAGACTGTCTTCAATATTACTTGTCAAATTTGGGGTATAACAAGTGATTGATTACAGATCCCTGAAAAGGCACAGAAGAAGAAACAGAAAATGTAAATTGTATGTATTTTTTTTCATTGTGAATAAAAATTGAATAAAAATCAAAATCTGTGTTCTTGTTTTCAGTAAAAATCCAGGTTGTTATTGTTTTCAGTAAAAATCCAGTTTGAACCGGTTATAGGGCTGTCTAGACTGTGAAGCGTGACGTCATAATCACATTCTTGTAATGTTTTGCACACGGCGCATTTACCTGTGTCCATAAACAAAACGTAGTACCAACGTACCAATGTAAACACAGTGTAAACAACTCCGTATTTAGGGGATAGGTTAGGGAATAGGGTTAGAGGGCTAAGGGGGTTAGGGTTAGGGGTTAGGGATAGGGATAGGGGGTTAGGGTTAGTTAGGGCTAGGGTTAGGGGGTTAGGGTTAGTTAGGGGGTTAGGGTTAGGGTTAGTTAGGGCTAAGGGGGATAGGGATAGTTAGGGTTAGTTAGGGTTAAGGTTAGGGTTAGGGGGTAAGGGGCTAGGGTTAGGATTAGGGTTAGGGTTAAGGCTAGGGGGCTAGGGTTAGAGGGGTTAGGGATTAGGGCTAGGGTTAGGGGGAATTAGGGTTAGGACTGCACTCAGTTGACCCCCTTATCCCCTCCACCAATCAGAACTGATCACGTGATTTCTCTCAGCCAATCAGAATCTTCCCCTATCTAGGCCCCTTATACTACTTTCCTATCTGGTTTTCTTCTCTCCCAAGTACTTCTCCTTGGTAAAACTGGTACAGGTTCTTCTTCTTTATCGTCAGAACTGGACTACTAGCTTCAGCATTTTCCGGCGGTTGCTCCGCCTCTGCCTGTACTGGCTGTTGTTTTATTACTCTCCTCTGCATCATGATGCTGTATTTCTTCTCTTTCCTGTCTCTGTTCTATCTGATCCATCTGTTCTATGGGTCTCTGTACTGTCTGCTCTCTAGGGCTATGTACAATCTGCTCTTTAGGGCTCTGTACTCTCTGCCAGCTCTCCTGATCTCTGTACTCTCTGCTTTCCTGGGTGTTTACTAACATCTTCTTGGATGCTAACCTCAGGGATCATTGGACCGGTACCGGAATAAATTCAGTTACCGACTCTTCATCAGAACCAGCATCTCTGTCATCTTCTAATTCTCTAATCTCGGGTGTTTTTCTTGACCCTGTTCTTGTTTCTTCCATGTTTGCCTTGTCCTTGGTCTAGGAGTAGATTTGGAAGGTGATGATGATGATTCTGCTAAACTGGCTTTATATGAATCTAGATGTCCAATTGGGAGTTGGTTTCTGTGTAATGTCCGAGTTTTTCCTTTTGTCATTTCTTTCTGTACTTTACTTACTGGAAATTTTGGATTAGGATGTTCAGTCACTCTTCTTCCCATTTATCGGCAATTTTGTGTTTTCCATCAAAAGCTACAATCTTTACTAGTACTCTTATCATCTATCTGCATTTCTACATTTGTTTTTCTTCTATCATAAGTGTCTTTCTGTCTTTCCTGCGATTTTTTGGTAATTCTGTTCACTAGTTTGTAAACTGCTTTCATATTTTCTTTCAAGTTACTGATGTATTTGGATACAGATTTCTTTTCTTCCTTCTGTAAGCAAAGTCGATGTCTATCGGTATTTTTTGTTCACGTCCAAACATAAGGAAATATGGGGAAACGCCATTTGACTCGTTCTTGATGGAGTTATACGCATGTACTAATGGGTTAATATACAGCTTCCAGTTCTGTTTCTTTGATGGTTTCAGGGTTCATAGCATGTTCAGTAAATTTAAAGTTCTGTTATACCTCTCACATTGACCGTTGCCCATGGCATGGTAAGGGGTTGTCCTTGACTTTTTCATCCCTGTAATCTGGCATAATTCTTTTATAATCTGGCTCTCGAAATTTGCTCCTTTGTCCGAGTGTACTCAGGTTGAATTCCATAGTAGGTGATAATATTGTTGTTTAACGCCTGTGTTGGAATCGCATGCACAAAACGACTGAAGTAATCAGTTATGACAAGTACATGTTGATACCCTCCTTTACTTATTTCAAATGTCAAGAAATCCATGCAGTTCTTATGGATAAGAATTGATGTTAACTAATGGTGTCTTTTGGTTTGTTGCTTTCGTATGCAAACATCTGTTATAGTTCTTGATCCAGTTTTCAATGTCTCAGTACATATCTACTCAACAGAACCTGTCTTTGACTAGAGATTATGTTCTTTCTCTGCCTGGATACAAACTTGTTATGTAATTCCATCAAAACTTTGAATGTTCTGGGTATTACTAATTGCTGATTCAAGTTGTTTCCCTGTAAAGAATATTATTGATTAGTCCAAGTTTGTTGAAATTTCTAACTGATGCCTGTGAGTCAGGATGAAATGGCAAATCTTCAAGTCTAGGTTTCTTTCGCAGTTTTACAAGATGAATCCAGGATTTTAGAGTTGGGCCACTTCTCTGAACACTGTACCGATGTTAAATGAAAAGTAGTATTTAAATTGTATCTTTTATCTTGTTTGCTAGTTTAAGTAGTTGGAACTATGTTGCACGAGACTTTTCCATCTACTGTAAACAAAATCTGTTCTTTGTAGACGAATTTTTAGAGTAACTTGTTTAAACGGATTTTAACTTAGTATAAATAAGACGAATCCGTGAGTTTTAAAGAAGATTATATTTGAAGATGTAAATTTATCTATTCATTTGGAATTTAATTAGGTTAAAACTGTTTGAAATTGTTAAGAACTTTAAGTGATTTAGTTTGATCACATATTTCCATAATTTGGGAATCTGATCATATTAATTTTTGATTATCGAAAGTAATTTATTCAAAAAGTCACATATCCAGGGTTAATCTCTGAGTCAGACTTATTTGAGTTCTGATTTTAATTTGGGAGAAATTGTTAAAAAAAAACAGAAGGAATTAATTTTATGTTATTTTGAGGAGGTTATGAATTTATTATCTTGTTAAAAGGGACTATCGAATTCAATAAATTGTGGAACTTAAAACAGACTCT